AAAGCGCAAACAGTTTTAATCACATGCTGTAATTTGCTCTGAATAAATATCTTCAACTTTTGGAGAAAAAATCGTCCCAAAAATTTGTGACCAAAAAATAAAAAAGCATCCCAAAAAAATAATTTAGGGACATTTCTTAATTTTTCCTTCTACTGAGAGTCTGAGACAGAAGAAGACCAGAGAGTTTCGGTTTCGGACACAGAAATCACAAATTAGACTATTCTTTTTTTCTTGTTTGACTTCGAGAAGAAAATCTCAGATAGATTCCGACCAGATAAATCTTCTTGCTTCCAGATCCCAAATTCCCCATCTCTTGTAGATCTGCATAAATGGCGGTTACTGATTGATTTCAGGAGGAAAAAAATAAAGACCCTTTTGCTTAATTTGTTGACCTCTTTTTCTATTAATGGCGGATTCTCAAAACGGCAAGTCCTTGTTCTTCTTCTTCTTGGTCTCGTTTAGTTTGTTTTTTCTCTCGCCGTCTTATGCATCTCCTGTTGTCACCACCACTTCCGGGCCCGATCCGATTCCTTACGAGAACTCAGATGCTTCTTCTCAGGGAGTCGTGACCGACAACGAATCCGACAGGAAAGCTGTTTCATTGCATAGACTCGAAGAACTTGTTAGGAATCTTACGGAACTAGTTGCTAGATTAGATGCTAGGTTATCTGAAACTCGTGGGAATTCCGGTGATGAGATCGAAGAAGATGGTATTATTAGAGAGAAAGCTAAGGCTTTTTCAGTGACAAAGTATAGTCCTTTCTGGTCAGAGAGATTCGAATTCTCATCAGCTGTGAAATTAGATTCAGACCCGACTTGTATCAAAGTGTTACCGTTTCGAGATTTCGATGGTTTAAGCAAGTATTTCGCAGTTGGTGATTCAAGTGGTAGAGTTTATGTGTTCTTGAGAAATGGTGATGTTTTGGTCGAGTTTTTCACCACCTGTGATTCACCGATCACATCAATGGTTTCTTACATGTCTGTGTATAAGAACGAGAGCTTTGTAGTGACGGGTCATCAAAGCGGAGTCATCTTGTTGCATAGACTCCGCGAGGGCTCGATGGGGGAAGATTGGAATCCCGCTGAGATGGAAAATGTTGGAAAGTTCGATGGCACGGAGGATGGTTTGCAAGTGACTCTATTGGAAGTGCATCATGTGGGTCGGGTTAGGTATTTATTGGCGGCGGATCTAAGCGGGAAGCTCACGGTTTTCACGGAGAACAGAACGGTTTATGGCTCTGTTACGCCATCCAGTAGACCGCTCGTGTTCTTGAAGCAGAGGTTGTTGTTTCTTACCGAGACTGGTGCTGGTTCATTGGACTTAAGAAGCATGAAGATTAGAGAATCCGAGTGTGAAGGTTTAAACCATTCTCTAGCGAGAACTTACGTTTTCGATGCGTCGGAACGGTCTAAGGCTTATGGATTCACATCCGAAGGTGAAGTCATTCACGTATTGCTTCTCGGAGACATCATGAACTTCAAATGCAGAGTGAGATCAAAGAGGAAGTTTCAAATGGAGGAGCCTGTTGCGTTACAGGCCATCAAAGGCTATCTACTTGTAGTCAGCCAAGAGAAAGTCTTTGTATACAATGTATCGACTCAACACTACGTTCGAACCACAGGTCCTCGGCTTCTTTTCCCCGCAGCATTAGAAGATATCAGGTCAACGTTCTTGAGTCATCGAGAATCATTTAAAACCAATCACAAGAGGCTCAAAAAATTAACTCCTTTGATAGCCAGCGATCGCGAAAAGCTCCTTGTGATGGGTTTAGGAGACGGATACGTCGCTACATACAAATCGAAGCTTCTGATTTCAAAAGGAGAATTTAACACAATGCTATGGAGCAGTCCTGTCTTCTTCTTCATACTGTTTCTATTCGCCGCGTGGCATTTTTTCGCCAAGAAGAAAGAATCTCTCACAGCTTGGGGACCCGACGATCCTTTCGTCTCCACGACTTCTTCCACTGGCATAAACAGTTCTACAACAGAACGTTCTTTCACCGAGCCATCTAGGAGAAACAATGACCTCATGGATCTCCGAAGAAGATACGTCTCGCCATCTCGGTACCTTCCTGGAGCAGCAGCAGGTACTTACCGGTCAGTTGCTTCTAACGACTCGAGAGCTCCAGTGGAAACCACTAACTACAGAACAACCGCACAAGAGATGAATTATCGTGGTGGGTCAGGTCTTGATTCAGGTGGTGGGTTTGGTAATAGAAGAGAGAGCTTGTTTGGTAATAACAAAGCTTTAGACGACGATACTTAAACTTAAAAACAGTCGTTTTTTTTTTTCATAGTCCGGTATGTTTTTGTTTGGTTATGCCTTTCTTTTTACCGGTCAACGCTTGA